GAGCACTATTACGCCATGTTGATTGAATTGTTGTTTTCAAAAATTAATCAGTTAAATATCGACGACAATCAGTATTCGGTTCCAACAAGACGGCACAACTAGCCATACATCCCGCACAACAATCGATTTATTCCAAAATCAATTTGTTTACAACTTCATTTTCAGAAGTGGTTCAGTTAACTATCTTGTTAACCTCTCGTTGGTGCAATTTAACGCCTCTCAATTACTTTTTATTGGGTTATATTAAGTCATTGCTTAATGCAGACAACCGACAAACCAGAAACTCTTGAAGCGTTGGAAGCCAATGTTCTTGCCACCATTGATTCTATTGACACCATATGGCCATATTTATTGTCAAAAATAGTCAGAAATTGGACTAATTAAATGGACCATATAACTCGTAGACACGGTGGACATATGGTGGAAATCATATTCAAAAAATAAATGCCATGAAATTATCTACCTTTATTGATTTTTACTTATCTCATAATTTCATTTCAACAATATTTCTGTCTTGTATTATCATTATAATACGATTATTGAGTTCAATAATATTATTCTATAAATTATTAAAGTTAGATAATATATTGATTAATATTTCAATCAAATTGTTGCTACTAAAAAATAATTGCTAAGCACAAAAAACTGAGAATTTCTTTTCACCATTCTTAAACTCTTTAAAATTAATTGTAGCTATCTTATTAAGAATATGGTAAATATCCTTAAGAAAACTTTTCATTTTACGACCACTTCATAAAACTGATTTATCATTTCGAAAACATCACCACCCTCATTATAATACAATTTCTTAGTCTACTTCAAAAGTAATGATCCTATACAAATAAACAAATTTCAAACAAATTTCAAACAATTTCTATTTGATATTTCTTCGAAGAAAAAATCAACAAACAAATTTGCAATAAAACTTACTCAAGCCTACTCAAATGTTTTAAATCACTCATACGCACCATTGCACATTGGGTTAATTCGCTGAAATTAAAATTAATGCCAACGAATTTTTATTGAAATTGTATTAATAATTTCGTATTATAAAACCTTTAATTAGCCACATTGTATTCACATAATTATTGAATTAGTGAAGCTAATTAAGTATCGAAATTTATGGTTATTTCTATTTGAATGAAACAATTGCATAGATTTATTTAATTAACTAATTAACAAAAGCAAAACAAAAAATAAAAATCTAATTATATTTTAATTCAAATTAAATTATTAACATATTATTAATTATATTAATAATTATAGAAGCCATACGAACTTTAAATTTTTGGAAAACAAAAATTTCTTTTTTTTGTTTTTTAAGACTCCAACTTTTTAATATATATATATATAAATATATATAAGTCTTATAAAAAATTATTTCTATGGCATTTGCTTTGTTTTGTTATTATCGAATAAATGTATGTAAAATATGTTTAACCCACGTGTTAACTTTCTTAGAAGAAAAGAAATTTTTATTACTCTCAAAAGTAAATAAATAAAACATTTCAAAATTATGTACAAGTGCAGACAGAAAATATTGTTTCTTTAAAGAATTTATTTCGATTTTGTTTGCTTGTTTAAATTTTAAAATTTATTTTTAATTTTTTCAATTTTTTTAATTTTTTGAATATTTTTTCCATTTTAAATTTACAAAGTTTTGCAAAAATTTTAAGTAGTAAAAATTGCACATTTTCTGCAAAATTGTTAATCACTTAATGTTTTCATAAATTTTTATTATGTTTACATACAATTATATAAATATTACCTGATGAGTTTATTGAAATTTGTTACTACTTCTACATATGCCAAAAAGATTTGTTATCTAACAACTTAAGAAAATAAGAATAAAATCAAGAATGTTTTATATCAAAAGATTCTTTGGCAAGTTATTGAAATTTTTAAATCAAATATTTACAGAAATTTCAGGTTTTAATGTTAATGTTTTTTAAGAACAACATATAAATACAATTTTAAATTAATTTTAATAATTAAATAAAAAATTATTTTTTTCACTTTGCAAAAGTTAATTTGACTTATTTTTTATTTGCAAATATCTTCGAATATTCTTCGGATACGTATACCCAACTCAAAACCTAAATATTGCCGACTAAATTCTATTATATTATAAGTAAACTCCTAATATAATTTTCAATTTTAATCTTCAAACAAATTATATATTATTACGGTTAAAAATTAAGCCTTTTTACGTTACAAAAAATAGACTTTCTGTATTTTGTTTTAAACCTGTATGTCCTTTTATAAATTTTAACTTATTTTGATGTTTGTTGTTGCACAGCTTGTACGCAGATATAACTATATAGACTTTAAAGGTTGTTGGTATCACTATCTAATTTCACAACAATTACTAGCCTTATGGGGCGGTATGCACTTCTTAAAGCAGTCATCAAATAATCAGCAAAGCTTATGAGGAATACATAAATTAGTCAAAGAGAAGGGAAGGACTCTGTAGAAACCCTTTAGCTAAAAAAGAGTAAATGCCCAGTTGAGCTGACTCGAAAAATCTCAACATAAGACTGATTAAAGTAATGATTACTAATGTTCTTCTCAAACCGTAGTCAGGTATAAATTTCAATAAGAAGTGTTCAAAGAAGCCGAGTCTCTCAAAAACTTTAACCTACAATTCGTGGTGGCCTAAAATAAACAACCGAGTTGAATTGATAAATAAAAAGCTTTCATACCAACAATGAATTATAGAATATTCAATATATTTGGTAATTACCCATTTATGAGTATACAATTTATTTCATTTATTTATGACATCTCTCAAAACACCTGACAATGTCAGATGTGCTTTTATAAATAAAAGAATATATATCTATGTACCAAGTTTACCTAACAGCTTTATTTTGTTACAAATTTTGTTGAGCTTTCTGACTTTAATAAGCACAATGTCCCTGTAAACCATAATTTCCTTTCAGCTAAATTTAATTGATTCATTTTTTACTCGCTATGAGTCCAAAAATCTACAAGTAAATTTTTAATAACGCAAATGTTAAGATAAGCTTGAGGCGTATAAGGGACAACATCCTTATTAGGTAACTGCGAAGGATACATTTTATCCACCCTAGTTTATAACAAGAAGAAAAATAATTTTTTTTGTTATATGTAATTTTTTCGTCAACATCAAAGTAAAAATTAAATTTGTGCAAATTTAACGCGCTTAATTAACATAAAATAAAAAAGAAATTTTAATATCTTTTCGTTTAAGACATAAATTTATATAAATTAAGAAATTAAAATTTTGTTTCATAAAAATTTGCAAATATATTATATTTACCTTAATGGTTGGAGATACAACAAATAAGAAATAATTAATGAAGTCCATTGCTTGAAACAAAAACAAAAAATTATTTTATGTAAACATTTTTTATAGGAGGATTCGGTGAAAAAAAATTATTATCGATTGCTTCCAGGAAATAAAAACTTTTGTTTAATTCGTTACTTTATTTATTCATTAAAGAAGCATAATTTTTTATGAAAATATTTCATCTGATTTGTTTTCCTCATGCTTAGCACTATTGTGAGGGAACTCATCACTTACTTTACGCTTTGGTCTTACTTCATGAAAGTTTATTAATTTTTTCTAAAGAAATTAATTTTTGTTAAATATTTCTTTAGAAATATTAAAAAATCCGAACGGAACTCTAACACCTTTCAAGTCTCTTATATACATTTTTTGTAATGAAAATGTAAAATTTTTGAACGCACAATATTTTTTCGTAAGTTGAAAATCTTATTTACCTTATTAAATATTATCTCCTTAACACTGGATATCAGACGGCAAAAGCTAAACTTCTAAACTTCTAGTATAGAACTTGTACCAACCATTCACTTGTCTGAATTTGTATATTTTAGTTTCGAAACCTCCAATTATCTACTTACTAAAGCTTTGTCACTGTCATGGCTCCATAACCACTTACATGGTTAAAGGCCCATGCCCGGGTATAATGACAATACCCAGATACGATGAGGCTAGTCACAGGAGAAAACTTCAAAAAAAGGTATATACTTAACTCTACATAACTATAATATTTGTGATGGCATACTATACTTCCATTTGCAAACTGATAAGTATATGGATAAATATCTAAAAATGTGAAGAAAGTGTGAAAAAAGTAAAATAAAATTATAAAAATGAGTGTGTAAGAAATGGAAATATTTAAATATAAAAGTAGAAATATAAAATTGAAATGAAGAATAAAAACAAAAACTACGGATAACTTTATATGTTGCTAAAAGAAATAACTATTTATATAACTAAAAATAACTATAAGATTAACTAAAAATAACACATAACCCAAAAAATTAACTAAAAAATTTAACTAAAAATTAAATATAATTAAGATATAATAAAAAATAATTAATAACTATACAATAATTAAGATTAACTAAGAAATATCTAAAAATGACTAAACATAACTAAAAAATAACTAAATATAACTAAAAAATACATCCAAGTCTCCCTCCTTCTATATGTGTTTAACGAGAGGCAACAATATCAACAGATATTCAGAAAGTCATTAGTCCAGTTTTTCGCCTGGGAACTACCCAGGTTCATCAGAGTGAAGAAATTTATATATGTGAAGCAAATATTTCTTTTGTCGTGTCTTCAGATTGATATATATGCAAAATCATACAGCTTGTATCTCCAAAAAAAATTACAATCAAAACTACAATTATTATTAACATTACTGTGTGTAAGACTTAAGATTCAAAAACTGCAGGCATTGTAACTGCAATCCGCACAGAATAAAGAAACATATACATATATAAAACTCAAATATACAGATAAATATACTTCTGAATTGTATTTTAATCATAATCAATTAACAAAAGTGTTCAATAATATATATTTAGTTAAATTAATTAAATGAAAATACCAAATGTTTTAAAATATTTAAACTCCAGTTGGCCTTGTATTATTTTCTATCAACATACAACATTTAAATTTATTAAAACTCAAAATAATTTCTTCTCTGCATATCATTTCATAGTATTCAATGAAAACAGAAATGATCTTTAAAGAATATATCACAGAAGCGTTGATCGCCATACAACACCCAGCATCGTTCGATGACATAGCTGGTTACATTGCTAAGAAGACACGAAAGAGACTGTGCTCTATTAGATATGACATCAGTAATGCAATGCAGCACTGTTTAGAAAATGGTGAAATACTTAATCAAAATGGTTACTATTTTATGTCGAAAACAGTCAAAAATTCTTTACAAAACATATGTGAAGATAATGTATCTGACATATTGGATGATAAGAAGAAGAAAAACCAAAAAAATAATATGAAACAACCTTCATTCAATAGAAAAAAAATAGTAAAAGAAATAACCACTAACTCAGATACAAATAAAAACATTTGCAAATATGTTTCTTATAAAATATATAATAATGAGGACGATAACATCCCCGGATGCTCAAGAGAAAACTTAAATAACCAAAATACAATACAAAAAAAGGTGACAACAAGAATGAAAAGTAAGTTCATTGAAGACGACTCCAGAAAGTGTGGAATACAAAATAATTTAAAACCGATCCAAAACAAGAGACTCTACGGAAATGATAAGAATAAACAAATAACGAATAAAAAAATTGTTCTTTCAAGAAAACGTCGCGGTTGTATCTTGAATTTATCAAAAGCTCATAAAAGCTTGATACTTCCAAATATCAGTATTTCAGACTCGGTTAACCCCTCTGCAGATTCTGATAATCTATCAAACAAAACAACTAAAAAAAACAAGGAAGAACTTGCAAAACCAAAGGCCGAAAATATTAATACTAATAGATATAACTTACGTCTACGAAAAAATTTGATTTCAACTAATAATAAAAACGGTTACTTAGGAACTCGAAAAAATCTCTCCAAAAGAAACACTGTTGCTATTTCTAGCTCACTTTTTAGTAAAGAAAAATTTCCTGCAAATTCTGATTCAAATGGCAATGCAAACAAATTGATGACTGCAAAATCTAAGAGGAATAAAATATGTCAAGAACAAAGTGAGGTTGTAGGTAAGTTTTCTAATAATTATAACTATAATAATAAATCATCCGAATTAATATGCGCTACAAATATAAATTTTGGGAAAGTGGCCCATACAAAAAGAAATAGAAATTTCAAAAGAAGCAGTAAAACGCAAAGAAATGAAGAGAAGGCACCTTCCACAAGCCGTGCTGCATATAGAGACAGTTCTAAATTCATTGAAGACTCATCTGAATATGATTGCAATACTCAAATTAGTTCGAGGTGGAGGAACTTTTTTTATCGTTTAAAAAATTGTTTCTTCTCGGTTGTCCTAAATTTAACAGTTTTTTTTAAAAAGAGTGATTCTCTTTAACATTTTATTTTATGTTCGGATTTTTTTGTATTTTGTATTATTTTGTATTATTGTTTTTTTAATAAAATGGTTTTTTTTTTAAATAAATTTTGAATTCAGTTAGCGGAGTATTTTTTCGTTACTTTTATTGCAGATATATAAAAATATGATTAATTTGGTTTTATACCTTGTGATCAAAAAAGAAAGAATTCGTTCTTTTTTTGAATTTCCGCACTTATCCAATCGGTAAATTTTTTTTATTTTCACGCTGGCAACGCTATTATACACATTCTATCAAAGTTTTTGTTTGGCGTCTATACAAAGAAGTCGAAAAATTTTTTTGTGGCGATTTTTAGCTGAATTTCATTCAAAAAAACGTCGTCGTGATGTGGCCAAAGAGATGATTTCCAACGCAGATAGTGGCCCCACATTCATCGAAAGCATCTTAACTGTTAATGAGACATGGATCTATAAATTTGACATGCCCACTAAACAACAATCGACCGAATGGTGCTTCGAAGGTGAGCCGAAATCGAAAAGAGAACGCCAAAGTCGGTCCAAAATCAAGGTTATGCTGACTGTTTTCTTCGATATTCGTGATGTGGTGCACTATGAATTCCTTCCAGACGGTCAAACGGTCAATAAGGAGTATTATTTTGCCGTTACGCGTCGTTTGCGTAAGAACATTCGAGGCCAGAAAGAGGCCAGAATTATGGAAGGAAAACTCATGGAATTCACACCACGATAACGCACCGGCTCACTTAACGTTGGTTGTGTTGTAGTTTTTGACCAAAAACTCCACCAAAAACTTCACCAACCAAGCACCGTTCTCTCCAGATATGGCCCCGTGTGACTTTATCCTCTTCCTCCGTTCCCCCGACTCAAATTGCCATTGCGAGGAACGCGTTTTGAGACCATGGAGATCATAAAAGAGAATTCGCTGCGTTAACTAAAGGCCATACCTTTGGCGGCCTATAAAACTCGATTTTGGCGGCAGTTCGGGTAATATTCTTCTTTCTCTATCTTTGGCAAGCAATTTAATTTCTAATATAACTTTTCTGTTTGTGTAAAAATAGGGAGGCTTCTGCAACATCCATGACTTGGATTCATAGGAACTAAATTTTTTTGACTTTATTTTCATTCAACAAAAGTTTTAATATTCCTTAGAGAATTGGATTATTGAAAAGTAAATAAATAATTAATTTATAAAATAACTACTGGAGTAAAATCAACTTCCCCCTTTTTTTGTAAAAATGGACGTAATATCTAAGTAGTTTTTATACAGGATTTATTTAGGCTTTTTTTCTTCGTATACAATCATTCAAATAGAAACCCATATATTTTATAATTTTAGCATTATAATTAAGACTTGTTAAAAGCCTAAACAAATAAATAAATTTAATATTTGTTTTTAAGTATAATTTATTCTAACCACTTGAAGGCAATCGGATGAAGTTCACTTGTAAAGCAACTGTAGTGCAGGTAAATAATGTTATTTATTTTAAGTTCAGATTTGTACAATATTTTTTACTTTTAATGTAAGAGTTTAGTTAATAACATTTTTTTAAGACTATTTCTAAATAGAAAAAAATTAAGTTTTTAATGAGTTTATTTAATGTTGAAACATGTTTGATAATAAAGGATAACAAATTTCATTTCTTAGGTAGCATAATTAAGATAAGTAAATATAATCTAATCAAATAAAATAACTAATTAAATAAAATAATTAATGATAAAAGAAGAGAATAATATAAAAACAAAAATTAATGAAAATTGTGAAAATAAGAAAAAAAAATTTAATAAAACAACTTTCTATAAAGATTATATTGAAATATGGGTAGTAGTCTAGAAATCAAATATAAAAAAAAACTTAATATAAAGAACATCTATATTATAATCAGGTCATTAAAGTGATTGTTTAATATAGTATTTTATGATACTAGCACTTTATGAAACTAAATTATAATTCATTACAAATGTATTTTTCCCGCGTAAATGCAATGTAAAGTGGCTGAGAATTATAATATTGTACAAAAACTGTTATTCTTATTATATTTCTCATTGAAAGTATTTATGCGGAAGTTAATTTATTGCTCGTTTTCAATTGTTGTTTTGCTGGATTTTAGTGCTGTTAACTAGTACTTTTTCTAATCATTACATTAGTATTAATAACTAGTAGTTATGGTTTTTTTGGTCTAGTAACTGTAAAATTATTCCTGTGTTTGCCTTGCTACTATTTTTGTCCACAGATTACTTTACCACACAGAGTAGTTTACCATATAATGACTAGAATTTTTTAGTTCAAATTTACCAATAGGTTCACTAATTAAAAAAAAATAGCATTAAATTGAGGACGGAGAAATTCATTCTTCGGTAAGGTTAGGCGATTCACTTAGGTATTTGGGCCCACTGTGTTGCCGTGTTATTTAAAACTCAAAGATTAGAACCACTTAGAACCTTTGGCAAAACTTATGATGCTATTCAGAGATCGTAGATCCTTAAAAATTAAAGCCCCTGTAGTGATAAGGCGGTTAAGTGATGGTTGAAAGGGAGATTTAGTCTCCTAGCATGGTTACCTAAAATACAATGACATGTAAGTAAATCTACTACAAGAGTGATATCTATACGGAGCATCTCTATGAGAGAGTTTGATTTTCTTCATTGCATCCAGATGCCTACATATCGTTGAGTCTTCTCGTCTTTTGCTAAAAAGTTCGGCACTGAAGAACTCAGTAATAGTTCGCTTGATGCCAAGGATACGCCCAAGTTGTTTAATTGTTCCCAGTGAAGTCCTGAAACACCACGTCTGACTAGCTCGTCTGCTTTGTAATTGCCGAAAACATTCCATTCACCGGGGAACCAAGATTAAAAAAATATTAAACTGCGTCGACATCTCATTTATATATGTGTAGCAGTCAAAAATTGTCCCTGATTTAAATTGGACTGACCCCAAGGACTTTGATGAACTATATCTGAGTTTTAATCTCTGGTTATCAGTTAGTTAAAAAAGTAGAAAGGAAAAACAATTTTTAATTTTTGATAAATAATACATTGAAAGGAACAAAACGAGTTTTAGCTATTTGATCAACTAATGAATTTAATTTAGTTCCGTCACGTTACTGGAAGATCTTATTCTTGCTGTTAAAATAATCAAACCAATTCGTTAAAACCTATTGTGTATTGCGAAACAAATAAATGAATTATCATGTTAATCTCATATAGTTTTCTATTATGAATAATAATGCTACTGATTCTTTGATATTGTCTCTTCTTATGCATTATGCATTTTATTTACAACTAAAAAATTTTCAGTGATGAATTGAATTACAATAAAATGCTGTCTATGTGACATTTCCAAAACTTCATATGCATAAAATATATTTTCATATTCACTTTGAAATACAGGATATTGAGCTTGTGGCTAAATCAGTGACCAAATGAACAAAATTAATGCAATTTAAATTACTCACTCAATTAGTCCAGCACACAGGCACTAATCATGGTAATAGTTCCAGACTGTTTACCACACCAGACACATTTCTCTATGCTTGAATATATTTTTACTTATTTACATGTAAAATTACACAAATGTAATCATAAATCTGCTTTAATAAAGTTAACTGAAGCAACAAAGTAATTATATGAAATTGTGTAACATAGTTACAAGTTTCAGTTCCGTTAGATGAACTTACTGGAATATCAGCATTAGTTTTATGCATACTTCTGTTCATCGTTCTTGTTTTATATATAATAATACATGATTTGTGTTAATGAAATTAGTAAAAGTAAAAAACATTGGACACATTAGATGAATATCCAGTTAGCAAGAATCTCAACTTCATAAGAAACTTTTTGGAGGACAAAATAATAATATACTCTTGATAAGCGAAGGGAAGATTAAATTACTTCGCGTGAAGAGTTTTCTGGTATCTTGAATTACAGAAGTTTAGCTAAAATACTTTAAAAATTTTCATATACGAATATTATCTTAAAAAGCATTCAGGTGTTTAAATAATATGAAAGAAACTTGTAGTTTGAGACTTACGAATAATGTTGTAAGTTCTTAAAAATAAAAAAAAAAACATCTGACTTAATTACCATTTTTTATATTAAAAAGAAAATATCTTTACAATAAAACGTTACTTACTGTACAAATGATTACAAATTAAATATTAATTAAAATTAACATTTGTTTAATTAGGTTCAACCCTTGTTACATGCAGTCTCAAAAAATTATTTACGAATAATTAAATACAAGAAATAATTCCAAGAACATTGATGATGGTTCTTTGGCAATACTTGAAACCACTCCTAAAATTCAATTAATGAAAATAATATAAAAAGATTTTTTGTTGTTGTACTTCACTACTTTTTTTCACTACCTCTATATTAAAATTAAAATTTTTTCAATATTTATAATTAAAATATTATTAAAATTTAGTTTATTACAAATTTAATATCACTAAATTTTATTTAAGACAGTATTTATTTTGTAAGAGTTTCATATCTTTATTTTAAAACGACACTAAATTGTAAAAAAGGTTTTTTTAATAACGTATAATTAATCTTAAATACCATATTTTATTTTCTAATTGAAATAGAATATTTGTTATAAGATAATAATAATTTTCAATAAGAAATATTTTACCCACATTATTTCAGCGCTTCTACTTTAAAGTAATATATCTCAAAAATACTCCTCAAACTGAATATTATAAACACATTTTTACTTTCTTAAATGTCCTGGTAATATTTTAAAATTTAGGTTCTGTAGGTTATTAACATAATATTAACATTAATATTAACTGCTTAAAGATATATATATTATATTCAAGCTAGTGGCGCATGATTTCTCTATCGAGCGAGTCTTATGAAGTCAGATTTATAAATATTTAGATTCAGATTTCAATAATTTAGTTAAATTAAGATTTGACTAGATCAGTTCTGTGCACTATCTGAAAGAAATTTGACAGCAATATTTGTTTATGGATGTGAATTTATATCTTCCACAAATAGTAATTTTTTGGTCTCTAAATTTATCAATAAATAAATTAATTAATAAATAGTTTTTTGAGTATCATAATCAATACATTCGAATATTATTTAGTTATAGTGCTTTCACTACTTAACAAATTTAATGAAATCTTGGAGTCAGATTTGAAGTTACTATATTTGCTTCATGGTAGAGGCCATGAACTTTCAGAAGTTCAGGAAATTAGTAAATTATTTGCTTCCCAATGTAATCATTATATTCAACTATTACACATTTTAATTTTAATTTTAAGTTATTTTTTATATAATATCGTGACCATTATGATAATTATAATTCTGTAATTAATTAAAACGTAATCATTGCAAGTGTAACTCACCAGATCTATGTTACCATAAATAGATTAAGTTAATTCACAAACTTAATTTTAGTTTAATTATAATGATAATTAAAATTATAATTATAATTAAAATTATAAAATTATAATTATAATTAAAAATACATACAAAAAGAAGAAAAGAACCAGCTGGCAATCTTATGATGAGGAGAACAGCAGTAATTTGAAATCTCTAGACTACAAAAAATCCAATCTAAGAATTATCTAATGAATTATTAAATAAACCGAATGTTCTAATATATGTAAGTGGAGAGTCATCAGAGTTCGCTGTTAAGATATTCGAACTATCAATGGACGGTCATGCCGAAACAAAGAGTCGTGGAGAGTGAAACTAGTGATCGATATCCACTTGCATTAAATTTCTGCTACGGTTGGTCCATTCATTATATGTTTAAATCTTTTATAGGTCAACTCTATCAAGTTCTATTTACAAATACTCAAAAGGTCAATTTTAAATTTTAAAATACAACCGGTTCTTTGTTTTTTTTAAACATCGTTTATTTGTCAACTATATTTTAATTAAGTGAGTGAGATAAGAGTTATTTTATACCCAAAGCGGACAAAACTTCTCACAGTAATCTTAATTAATGACAGGCTTATTTC